GAACCCAATATAAACTATGGACTGTGGATGGAAGATGTGTTGATGTAGTCATGTCATCAACTAACAAATGTACCATTCTAGTGGGAGATGTTGACAGCAGGGAAGGCTGTTGCACATGTGAGAACAGGAAGTATTTGGGAAAATGCTGTACTCCTCTCAATTTTGCTGTGAACCTAAAACTGTTCTACAAAACAATACAATCTTACTGAAAAAAAGTCATGTAACTTAAAATACAATTCATAAAAAAATCCAGATTTTAATTTTGTTCTGCTAATAATCTACCTCAATATTCTAGTTCTGTTCTCAACTTTTCAAAGAAACAGTATTTCTTTATAATTATTTGAACATAAATTACACATAAATAGGCCAGGCACAGTGGCTCATGCCTGTGATTCCAACATTTAGGGAGGCTGAGGTGGGTGGACTGCTTGAGGCTAGGAGTTCCAGCCCAATCTGGGCAATATGGCAAGACCTAAAAAAAATTACACATAAATATTTTTCAAAAGTGTTATGTAAAAGTTTATTAAAGCTTTTATCTTTAACTTTTTATTAAAATAAATTTAAAGTCAGTATTTCTGCTGTATCACTGAACTTTGTGCCTGAAATAATGTTTAAGTTCTTTCATACAACCTCCTGTTGGGGGGAGAAATTATGCATTGATTCATTTAAATTTCCTTTAACTATTTCTTAAATATACATTAATTACAAAACATAATTCCCACAGCTATCCTCATTTTTCATGCTCCATTTTTACACTCATTTATATGCATATAATTTTACCTATTTCATTCAAATATATAAGCAAGTGGAGCAGTGTTCTCATAGGACTATTTTGTTTAAACACAGAAGTTTATCTGTATTTGAATGATGAGAAAATTAAAGTTTAAAATAATATAAAAAATTTATATGAAAATTTTAAAAATGTCCTTACCACATTACTCCAATAATGTGGGAAGAATTAGCATTGAATAGTAAATTGTTCTATTTCATCACATCAACAGAGATACCTTTCCCAAGAACCCTATAATACCAAGAAAAATATGTGTTTATGAGGTTTATTTAAATTTAATTTGGAGAATTTTAAAACAACCAGTCAAGAAGCATAGCATTCATCCTACATAAAATAATGAAATGTGTTACTTATCCTTTGAGCTTTTTTGCTGAAAGGCAGCCATATTTCTGTCAGGTCAAGTGATGTTCCATATATAAGAGATTAACCTGACACAAGACAGTAAAGTTTAATCCTTCAGCATATCATAATCTATTTACTCTGCATACTAAAAGGATTTCATATTTTAAAATTATAGAGGAAGTGATGTTATAAATGTACATAGAACAAGAGCAATTTTCCTAAAAGATTAGTTTTTAATGTCTATATAGCATGAATGGACTTATTTTAAAATATAAAATATGATACTTATTTGTTAAAAGGTATAATTAAACTCATCATTTGGTAACATTTTATATAAAATTAAGATGATCACAAATACAGATTCATTTAAGGGAGTCCTATCTAGAAGATAGCATATTCTCATTTTGTGATCACTCTAGGAAGCTACCACTTAATAAAAGAAAAGAGACTAACATAATTCACATGTACAGTGGAAGACACTGTCAGACCAAGAAAAAGATTGCTTTACTCTAATTATTCACATTATATATAAAAAATAAAATTATTCACAATGTATACCAGAGATGCCAACAATTTCTTCTTTGAGAACCTGCCCTGCTCATAACCCTGTAAGGGACAGATTCTTCATACTATTTGACCCTATTCCTTCATTCCCAAACCTCATCTCAGAACACAAATAATTAAAGCATTAGCTACTCTCTCCTGAAGATTTGGAATGAGAACATCAACATTTATATATTATGGGTAGGAGAGCCAGAAGTCTGTAGATTCTAGTCTGAGGCTATCATTTTGATTATGGTCATGATGAGGCCAATTTGCAAGGGAATGTATGAGCAGGAAAGTCAATTTAAAATGAATAAAAAGTAAGGAGTAAACATGCAGAAAAATGGCAACAAACCAGCTGGTTCCAGGGAGCTTTTTTAGGCTACTGGCAATAAAATGTCCTTATAACACATCTACTTTTTTATTGGGGCCTTTTTGAACGGCATTCTTCTTTTACAACCAAACTCTTCTTGAGTATGACAATGATTCTCAAAACATTTCACACACCAAATAACTAACACTTCCAAAAACATGACAAACAAAACTCTTTCATATTCCCTTTAAAATATCAAAGAACTGCTGTTTTTTCAAACATGAGAAGTAGTAGGGTGGGGAGGCCTCATGAAATAGATACTATCTGCTCTTCCTCACCAATCTGCAGAAAGGTACTTAAGCGGTGAATTTCCTCCAGCCCAGA